GGGCCGGCCCCGCCCCCAGCCGCTGCTCAGCGCCATCCGAACGGGACTCCTGTATGAGAACCACCTAGAGCAAATGAAGTTTTGAACCCACCTTCTTCTCTCCCTTAAATGAACGATTATCAGAGATGGAAGCGATGCCCCCTCCCTTTTGCCACGTGGCTTATCGGCGCAGACCAAAGATGGGGTGCTCTCTGCTGGGGCTCTGCCACCACCATCTCCGCTGTCTTCTCTTGCTGCGACCTGCCTTGCCCTGCCAGCGTGGACGTCCCACGGCGAGCTTTCACTCGGTGGGTTACTCAAAGGGTTTAAATACCGTCTCACAGGATCCGGGCAGGAGCGGGATGTGAAGGATGCTGGCTGTGCAGGAGTGGGGTCATGAGCAAGGGCTTTTGCTCACAGGGTCTCCGCTAAAGTTCATGCCAACCAAGAGACACAAAAGCCTTTTTGAAACTCCTAAGAGCAACCTTAGTGATGGAAAACAAGCGAGAGCGAGAATGAACACCAAGGAAGAGAGAGCCCGTGGGAGGAGAGGAGAGCTCTGACCCCGTCATTCCTCACAGTGACGTATTTTTGCCGGTCACAAGCACCAGCCACCGACACGTGAGCGCTCCCACGCACTTACGGCGAAGCATGTGCTGAAACGTTTCTCCGGATCGAGGCCTTTATCTTTACAAGGAAAACACCACAATCAGATGATGGCGCAAGCAACTTCTGAGCAACGTCGAATCGGTCGCATTTTCTATACAATCGCCCCTTTCAGACAAATAATCCCCAGCGGTGGACAAACATTTGGAAAAAATGCCTTTACCTCACAACTGGCTTCACAAAGTACAAAGGGTGGCTGCTGCCTTTTTGCAGAGGCACAAAGAAACTACATGGCCTCCACAAGGTCGCCCAAGCCCTCTGCAGCAGAGATGAGGCTGGATAAAAGACCTTGGGATTCTCATATCTGATATTTAACCAGAAATCTGTCTTCTTCATCTCCTCTGAGGGCCTTCATCTCACTCACTTCTCCAGACTTTTCATCAGCACCCTTTTCTAGATGCAGCCACTGCCGAAAGAACTATGGGTGCCAAACGCAGCCGAGACACCCACAGTGCCATGAGAATACCCACAAAGTTTATTGCCATTTACTACCTGACTGATGCTGGCACCTAAGCAGGATTTACCTGGTAACACCGTACCCTTTTAAAACCAACACAGCTCAGCACGGACGCCGTCGGCGCGCTCGGCGATGGCAATGCCTTCACTGGTGGGTATTGGGTGTCCCTTCACTGGTACCCCCAATGGTGGGCATTTGGGACATTTCCTGAGCTTCCCTTGCTACC